AGCCACAGGCAGGCAGACAGACAGATAGACAGGCATGGACACAAACACACACACACACGCACATACACACATACACGCAGGCACGCACGCACACACACACACACACACGCACACACACACACACACACACACACACACACACACACACACGCACACACACACACACACACACACACACACACACACACACACACACACACACACACACACACACACGCACACGCTAAACCTCAGCCACCGCATCCTGAGACGGAGTTCTCCCCACAGCCCTACTTCCCCCCTCCGGCATCCTCCCTCCCTTGAACTTAGACTTACAAGAAGAGAGTGATCCAGGAGAAGATCCTTCACCTTCGTAAGCGTAGTTTCTCAAGTCGTCTCCTGCAGGAGGGTTCTTGGCTCCTCCGCGGCTGCCTCCGTTCTGACTCCCGGCGGCGGTGCGTGCGTCTCCGCCCTTGCTCTCGCCGTTCTTGAGGACTGCCGACGCGGCGGAGGCGGCCCCTCGCTTCTGGTCCTCCACGCTGCTGGTGACCGACGCCGCGTCCACCTGCAGGACGTCCACGTCTGCGGGAGACACAGGACTGGCCGTGAGGAAGGTGAGGGTGAGAACGGAAGGGAAAAGCCTTGGGGGATTCGAGTTAAAGAAAGTAGGAGAAGGAAACCTGGGTGATATCAGCGATGACTCAGTAGTGGTAATGGTAGGACTATTAAAAATCATCAAAATAATGAAATCAACAATAATGAAAATGATAATCTTAATCGTAATACGTATACCACCGTATACATTGAAGATAATATAAAAAATATATGATAACAACAAAAATATAATAGTATCAACATTCCCATAAAGATTTTTAAAGATGATTAAAAACGTTAAAAAAAAAATGAAAATATTTGTAAATATCGATAACCAAAATTTGTATCTACAGTTCTCCTTTTATAAGCAATATTCCTATTAATCATAACAAAAAACACCAAACACACACACACACATACCCATAAAAAAATCCAAATTAACTTTAAAAAAAACTAAAATTCTCCCGAAACCGAACGAGCGAAGAGAAAGACGAACAAAATGCTCCAAAACAAAAGCAATAAAAGTTAGGCAAGTTGACGAGCCATTGTTACCTGCGATGTTAGGGTTCTTTGACCACGCCGGCTGCCCGTTTGCCTTGGGCGGTTTGAGAAGTTTGAGCTCGAGTAAGTTGGGCGTGTGGCTACAGGGGGCGGCCGTCTGTTCCTTGCAGTTCATCACATTTTCCTTGACGTCGGCCATGCCCCTCCGCAAGGCCGAGCGTCTGTGGTGTTGGTGCAGCAGGAAGGCGCAGATCAGCACTGGGGGGGAAGGGGGGGGGGATTATGTTATGAGGATTACCTGGATGTTTACACACGCGCCTATGATTATTTACGTGCCTGAACACTTGCAGACTTGTAATCAACAGATCTACACAAATGTATGTGAACTAATACAATTTAACACACTTACACAAACACACACACGTGCATACACACACACACAAACACACACACACACACAAACACATACACACACAAACACACACACATACACACACACACACACACACACACACACACACACACACACACACACACACACACACACACACACACACACACACAACCAACCGTAAATACATGTTACTCATCTATTCATATCCATTTTATTTATCCTCATAACCTTATACATAAATCATGAATACCTACGTAGCATGACATAAAACTACTTTGCCACTACCATCCATCGGACACATCAGGGGTTACACGTCTGAATATTTCATGCACTTATGGAACAATGCACACACAACACATTTACGGCTTAAAGCACAAATCCTCTCTTTAGGCTATTATGACTGGGAGAGCATGTCCAGCCGGTACATGGTATTGAGCCGATAATCTGCCGCGGGATTGAATTAAAATTTCGCCTATGTCTATACTTAGCTCTATCTATTCTTCTGTTTGCCTGTCTGAGTGAGTGATTGAGTGATTGACTGACTGACTCGCTGGCTGGCTGACTGACTGACTGACTGACTGAGTGTGTTTATCTATCTTTCTATATATGTATGTATCTATCTACCTATTTATCTACGTATCTATCTACCTATTTATCTACGTATCTATCTACCTATTTATCTACGTATCTATCTACCTATTTATCTACGTATCTATCTATCCATCTATCTTTATATTTACATGCACCAACCAACATCTAATTCCCCTCTCACCAAAACAATTGCATTAAGAAAGCAGGAATGCTCAATCGGTAAAGAAGTTGCCCACGCAAGGGAAATTTAGAAGGCCAATACTCACGTAGCAGGAAAGTGCACCACACGACGATGGCTACTAACGCCCCCAGGGAAAGTTTCAGGGAAGTATCTCCTACTTCAGGCAGGTGGCAATGCTGTCCGCTGAAGCCAGTCGGGCAGGCACACACGTAACCAGCTGCATATTGGGACACAACAGATGATTTAACGTCAGATTGCAT